TGTATAGCTCACCCTGTAGTATTCACAAAATGTATATTTATATGTGATTTATCCACTAGTTCCATTGAAATCTTCGCATATACATACATATATAATATTTTAATGCTTTTTCTTTCTCTCTGTCGTTATTGTTATTATTTTATTTATCCTTGTTTATTTGTTAATTAATTACTAACAATAATAACAATAAAATGTATCTCTTCTCTCATATATATGGTTTTGTTTTCTTTTTTATGGGGGGACGTACTTATTTCTTTTTTTTTCAAATAGATAAAACTAATAATTAGGTATTACAGTTAATATAATAAATTTATATTAATTATTATTAGTATTATTATTGTATTCTAAATTTTAATGGCTATATTTATTTTTTATTTACAAATGATAGTGGAACAATACAATCGCCTGTTTTTTATATTTTTCTTCTTACATTTACATTTAAATGCAGAAATTTACTGTGTAAATCAACATTTCCAATGGTATGCTGCTGTTCTTCTTACTTCGTATTTTATTCCTCTGATGAATTCTGATATTTAATTGGTTGTAGAATTGGGTTTTTTTGTTTTTTACTTATTTCTGTTGTTGTTGTTGGTTTTGTTGCTGCTGCTGATGTTGTTGTATACTATCCTGAGCACCCTTTGTACGCTGTGGCTTTTAGTCACCGCTACAGATGATGTTGGCAGAATTTACCAAGTTGCACTAAAATGTGACAACTACTCAGAATAAGGTATACAACAACATCAGCAGCTCATAAGCTCCTCCCACCGGCCGTTCCGCCCTTTTGCATGGCAGCTGGATTTTCATCTGCAAAGAAGAAAATAAATGAAGGGTTAAATTCGATAGCAAAAACCCTAATTATTAGAATGAAACTAAGCATTCAATACGGAGTTCGGATAATTTCCTATTGCAATGAAAATATAAGGATATTTTATAACTTAGTTACAAATATTATATTGGCAGGATACAAAACAATTTTCTTTTTTGCTGTGAGACTGGGAGCTTAACCCTTACGATCCTTTATTTTTGTTAGGAAAACTAATACGTTTTCAAGGTTAAATGGGCTCATTGATGTCAAACCAGTGAGCGGAGCAGTATAGTCGGACGGGACCGACCATATGATACCCTACACAACCTCCACGAAAATCGAACTCTCTGTGTTTGTATATTCTGAACTTGGGCAATATTTCGCGATATTTGCTCCCTCTTGACCGACTAGATGTCAAAAAATATTTCTAATATTCAGTAGACGAGGGGTGTCCTTGTCCAGATTCTCTGTACCGTGGGTTATGTTGTGATGTTGGGCTTTTAATTGAAATTTAATCAAAAACAATTTTAATTTAATCGAAAACAAAAAAAACCAAAAAATAAGTTTTCGGTAAACTTCATCCCAAACTTATTATCGGATCATCACCGAAAATTATAAGCGTTGTCGTTGACCATAACGGGAATTTCATGGAAAATTAAAAAACGATCAGCGCTATATTTCCGCCCTCTGGTGTGGTAAAGGGTTACTAAATAATATATAAATACGTAAGCACCTGTAAATATTTAAGTGTAACTCCCACATCCGAGTACATACGACAATATAATTGGTATCAATTTAAAGGTCAACCACTCCTCTTCGATACACTATCGACTTCTCGGGTCAATATCCTTCAAGAGTAAATATATACGCCATATAATACAAATTTTGTAATTTTTCACACAAAATCAGGATCCATTTGACCCGCTAAATATTGACGGATCTTTATCAAAACAGTCATGCTTAATTTTTAGCCCAATCCCCTTCTCCATGCAAAAATTCGCGGTGTTTGGGCCATAATTGCGGCGTCTGGAACGACCAGAAACACCGACAAAAATAAAGTTTTTGGTCCATTTCATTCCCTAAATATTAACCGATATTTACCAAACATCATTGGCCAGAACCCATCCTACATGCAAAATTTCATGAAGATTGGTCCATAACTGTGGCATGTATCGTGTTTACAAATTATAATGGACAGACGGACGGACGGACACACATGTCTAGATCGACTCAGCTAGTCGAGATACGACGATCGGTATACTTAAAGGTGGTCCTAGGACCAGTATTTCGCGGCGTTACAAACTTTTGGGGGTGCACAAAGCTATAATACCCTCACAACGTAGTTGTGTAGGGTATAATTTTTAGCCCAATCCCCTTCTCCATGCAAAAATTCGCGGTGTTTGGGCCATAATTGCGGCCTCTGGAACGACCAGAAACACCGACAAAAATAAAGTTTTTGGTCCATTTCATCCCTCAAATATTAACCGATATTTTCCAAAAACAATAGGGGTCTTCATTGGCCAGAACCCATCCTACATGCAAAATTGCATGAAGATTGGTCCATAACTGTGGCATGTATCGTGTTTACAAAGTATAATGGACAGACGGACACACATGTCTAGATCGACTCAGCTAGTCGAGATATGACGATCGGTATACTTAAAGATGGTTCTAGGACCAGTATTTCGCGGCGTTACAAACTTTTGGGGCTGCACAAAGCTATAATACCCTGACAACGTAGTTGTGTAGGGTATAAAAATCTCTATTTTTCGTTGTTACACAACGATGTTGTCAGGGTATTATAGCTTTGTGCAGCCCAAGAGTTTGTAACGCCGCGAAATATTGGTCATAAACCCACTGGTCATATCTCGGCTAGTTGAGCCGATCTAGATATTTGTGGCTATCCGTCCGTCTGTCCATTATAATTTGTAAACATGATATAGGACACAGTTATGAATCAATCTTTACGAAATTTTGAATTTAGGACCGGTTCTGGCCAGAGAAGACCTCTATTGTTTTTGGTAATGATCGGTTAATATCTAGGAGATGAAATGGACCAAAAACTTTATTTTTGTCGCTCTAAAGGCTCGAACTCAACGAAATTTTACACCGGAAACGAATATGGTCAAAAAATCAACATGAATGTTTTGATCAAAATCGGTCAATAATTAAAGGCACATCCGTCTTTACTACTCCGCTCAATTTTTTATGTATTATGGCTTTGTACCTATTTGTATACCCTTCACAACACTGTGATACAGGGTATTATGTCTTTGTGTCGTAATGCTACTGATGTGAAAAACGCAGCGTATAGGGCTAACCTGCAGACAGTAGCAACACGTAATGTGATGGCGAATTATCGGGAGAAAAGGATAGAGGAGAAACGTGTTTTCAATAAAGAAGAAAGAACAAGAAAAGCCTGATTAAATCGAGATGTACAGTAGCCAGCATGAAGTACGGAAATTTTACCAACGAGTAAAACACCAAACCGAAGGCTTTGGTGCAGGCACATCCTTCTGTAGAGATGCAGAAGGAAACCTGGTGACAGATACAGACAGCGTGTTGTGGATCTGAAAGTAGCATTTTGAATAGCTTCTGGTATCAACTAGTGGCGAAAATATCCCAGAACTAATAAGAGATGATGGTATAGAGTGTATACAACCTAGCCAAGATGAGACCATAAAAGCAATTAATCGGTCCAAAAACAATAAAGCAGCAGGAACCGATGAGTTACCAGCCGAACTATTCAAGACTGGTCAGGAGCATGCATTGGGTAAATGAATGCATGCCCAATGATTGGAACCTCAGCATCCTGTGTCCCAATAGTCAAAGTCATTATTGGGCCATACCAATGCGGCTTCAGACCTGGCAAATCCACCACTGACCAAACTTTCACTCTGCACCAAATCCTGGAAAAGATCCGCGAAAAACACATCGACACATTCCACCTATTCATCGACTATAAAGCCGCATTCGACAGCCCTATCCGTTCAGAGGTGTTTAAAGCCATGTCTATGTTCGGCATTCCTGCAAAATTAATACGGCTATTAATTAAGTGGCACAAGGTCAGCAGTTAAAGTCGGAAAGGACCTATCGGAGCCCTTCAATACCGAACGAGGATTCAGATAAGGTGACAGTTTGTCGTGTGTTCAATTTAACATCCTGCTGGAACAGGTCATACGATACGCAAAGGTGAACAGAAATGGCACTCTGTACACCAAACAACACATGTTACTAGCCTACGCCGATGACATTGATATAATGGGTCGAACATTGCGAGCGGTAACAGCCACCTTTGAACAAATTGAGAAGGAGTCTGCCAATGTGGGTTTGGCGGTAAACGGCGAGAAGACCAAGCTGATGGTATCAACGCGCAAGACGTCCAGTAGACTCGGACCAACTGTGGAACTTGAGAACTATAGCTTCAAGGTAGTTAAATATGTTATATACCTTTGTAACCGCCATACTCAAAACGAATGACATCAGTTTCGAAATTCGGAGAAGGATTGTGATGGCCAACAGAGGCTACTGTCGTCTAAGTAAGCAGTTTAGAAACAAGACCACCTCCCGCTAGACCAAACACACACTTTCAAGACGCTGATACTATTCGTGCTGTTATATGGATCTGAAGCATTTGTACTTGCGTAAACAGATGAGGCAGCTCTTGTGGTGTTTTAGAGAAAAAGTGTCCGAAAGATCTACGGGCCGATCTACGTCGATGGTGAATATTGACGTCGACTAAAAAACAAAACACAAAATGTTAAGTTTTCAGTCCACTTCATCCCAAAATTATTATCTTATTATAGGCTTTGTCCTTGACCATAACTGGAACCTCATGAAAAAATTTCAAAGCGATAAGCGCTGTATTTCCGCCTACGGTGTGGTAATATGTTACTAAATAATATTTGAGTACGTAAGCACCTGTAAATATTTAAATGTAACTCCCACATCCGAGTACATACGACCATAAAATTGGTATCAATTTAAAGGTCAACCACTCCTCTTGAACATATTATCAACTTCTCGGATCTATGTTCTTCAGGGGCAAAGATATACGCCATAGAATACAAATTTTGTAATTTTTACGCAAAAGTCAGGGTCCATTTGACCTGCTAAATATTGACAGATCTTTATCAAAACAGGCATGCTTATTCTTTGGCCCAATCCCCTTCTCAATGTAAAAATTCGACGTTTGGGCCATAATTGCGGCCTCTAGAGCGACCAGAAAAACCGACAAAAATTAAGTATTTGGTCCATTTCATCCCCTTAATAGTAACGGATCTTAACCAAAAACAATAGGGGTCTTCATTAGGTTGAACCCTTCCTACATGCAAAATTTCGTGAAGATTGGTCCATAACTGTGACCTGTATCGTGTTTACAAATTATAATGGACAGACGGACGGACGGACACACATGTCTAGATCGACTCAGCTAGTCGAGTTATAACGATCGGTGGGTCTAGGACCAATATTTCGCGGCGTTACAAACTCTTGGGGCTGCATAAAGCTATAATACCCTGACAACATAGTTGTGTAGGGTATAAACAGCCTTGGCCACGCAAACATTTTGGCCGCAGACCTTGGACATTCCAACAGGACTCAGCAAGCGCCACCCAAGAATGGTTACAAAATGCGGTTTCTAATGGTATGGGCCGCCATAACAGCCGATAATCGATTTCCGCTCGTATTATTCGACCGTGGAATCAGAATAAATGCCGAATATTATAGCGGACATTCCAACAGGACTCAGCATCATTGCACTCAGCAAGCGCCACCCAAGAATGGTTACAAAATGCGGTTCCTCGCTTCATTTCCAGCGCAGAATGGCCACCAAAATCTCCGGATACAAACCTATTTTGATATTCATAGTAAAACTCTATGGCGAATATTTTTGTAGAATATTCTGGCCTGGAAGAGGACCAAAAAACCACTGGAAAGATGTCCAAAAAGACCACTTCAGAGAATCGACAAAGGGTTAATGTATTGGACAAAAATATTCCTCACATTTATATCAGTAATGCAACATATACCTAAAATACGAGGATTTCGAGTAATCTTAATTCGAATATTTCCAAATGTATTGGAAATGGGAAATATTGTCCCGCCTTTTTAGGTCACCTCCCGACCTAAAATTTCAAAATGACTACTCTATAATATTTTTTGGAATTTTCCGATAATTGTTTTTTTGTGTTGCACAGTGGAATTAGTTATTTGATGAGTATTTACTTACCATTAATAACATGAACCGTCACACTGGCACTGCTCGACGTTGTTGGTTGACATGTATAATTTCCAGAATCAGATATCTGAGCGTTTGAAATCCGCAACCTGCAAATAAAAAAATAAAATAAGGTTATTTAAAAGTTTAGCTCAAATATACAATAAATCCAATGAAAGCGGCTAAAAAACCAAAAAAAATTATATTTCTGAACTGACTTTCAATATTAACATTCAAAGTAAAATCTGTATATTTTTTCATAGTATAAAAATTTAAATATAATTCCATCCCTTACAAATGTAAAAATCCAAAATTTGTGTGTCACATATAAAATGAAAACACCATTATCCTTTTCACAACATTAAAATGTACATCCTTATTTATATTTGCACTTTGCATTAAATTCCACTCAAATATATTCTCTCTGTCACTCACTCACTCTCTCTCCCTCTCTCTCTATCTGTTGTCAATTTTCCCACAAACGAACGAAATACTTACTTTGATTTTATTGTATCGCACAATTTCTGTTCCATGGCAACGCGTTGCCTGAAATCCAATGTTATTTCATTGTTCCCATTCTGTGACATGTGTTCGTCATCGTCGTCGTCATCATCATCGACATTATTGTCATACATATCTACAATATCGACCGAGGAAGAGGCAGCGGCAGCAGCGAAGCCACCACCGCCACCATGATCAAACGATGCGGATTTACTTGTCAAGGCAGCAGGTGTGACAAAGTAATTCCTTTGTGGTGCCGTTTCATCTGTAGCCGCAAACGGCATAAGCAAATGTTCGCCACGATACCAATGAATCGGACCAATATCCTTAATCGATGGTTGGCTTACGAGGCAGGTGAGCGTAATGACACTGCCAACTTTGACATATAAATCACTTGGACCGGTTATAATGGTTTGGGCATCTGATGATATTTCTGGAAATAAAATGAAAATGAGGGAAATTATAATTGGGTAATTAGTATGAGGTTTTTATACCCTTCACCACACTGTGGTACAGGGTATTATGTCTTTGTGCATATGTTTGTAACAGGCAAAAGGAATCGAGATAGACCCATAGTTCCTTTTGAGAATATGCATAGAATTACTTTCTGAGTCGATTTACGCATGTCCGTCTGTCCGTCCGTCCGTCTGCCGTCTGTCCGTCCGTCCGTCCATGTATTTTTGTGAACAAAGTACAGGTCGCATTTATGATCCGATTTGGATGAAATTTGGCACAGTTCACTTATTTGGCCCAAGGACGAACCCTATTGAAATTGGGAAAAATCGGTTTAGATTTAGATATAGCTCCCATATATATTTTCGTCCGATTGGAGGTAAATGGTGCACCAAAGTCCCTATATATCGTTCGATTTGCACGAAATTTGGCATAACGTACTGAATTGACCTTAGAGTGATGTCTGCCAAGTTTCGTGAAAATCGGTTAATATTTAGGGGATTAGATATAGCTCCCATATATATTTTCGTCCGATTTTATGTAAATGGTGCACCAAAGTCCCTAAATATCTTTCGATTTGCACGAAATTTGGCATAACGTACTGAATTGAGCTTAGAGTGATGTCTGCCAAGTTTCGTGAAAATCGGTCCAGATTTAGATATAGCTCCCATGTATAGTTTCATCCGATTTTATGTAAATGGTGCACCAAAGTCCCTATATATCTTTCGATTTGCTCAAAATTTGAAATAACATACTGAATTGAGCCTAGAGTGATGTCTGCCAAGTTTCGTGAAAATCGGTCTAGATTTAGATATAGCTCCCATATATAGTTTCGCCCGATTTTCACATTGCGATAAATATCACATATTTTAGTTCATCCAATTTCATGTTAATTGTTCTGTTTAATATACCCATAGTGGTGAAGGGTATAATATAGTCGGTCTAGTCCGACTTTATTACTTTCCTTACTGGTTGATTAAGTATTTATTAAAGGAACACTAAAATTGAGATGAAAAATACACTGAGGACTTTTTTCTATAGAAAACAAGCAAGGAAAGTAGTAAAGTCGGACTAGGCCGACTATATGATACCCTTCACCACTTTGGGTATATTCTACATATATATCCTGAAAGACGTCGCGTTTTTGTTATATATATATATATATATATATCTGAACCGATTTCAGGGTAACTTGCCAGAGAGTAATTTATATTACTTTAGTACGTTGTGTCAATCGGCCTAGCTATGGATCTCTTCACGAAGCTTAGCTACATCATTTTAGACTTAATTCAAAATTCGTGCAAATCGAAAGATATATGGGGTCTTTGGTACACCATTTACATAAAATCGGACGAAAATAGATATTACAGCTATATCTAAATCTGAATCGATCTTCATGAAACTTAGCACACATTATTATTGGCGTAATTCAGTACGCTATGCCAAATTTCGTGCAAATCGAAAGATATATAGAGTCTTTTGTTCACCAATTACTTCAAATCGGATAAAACTATATATGGGAGCTATATCTAAATCTGAACCGATTTTCACGAAACTTTGCACTCAACATTCTAGACTTAATTCAGTACGCTATGCCAAAATTCGTACAAATTAAAAGATTTTCAGGGACTATGTGAGCTATATATAAATCTGACCCGAGCTATATCTAAATCTGAACCGATTTTCACGAAACTTAGCACACACCATTCTGTACCTAATTTAGTTCTCTATGCCAAATTTCGTGTAAATCGAAAAATATATAGGGACTTTGATACTTTTACTTTGCCCTGAGGATTATTTTTCTCTATAGAAAAAAATCCCTTAGTACCCTGAGGATTTTTTTCCATAGACAAAATCCTTCAATATCCTGAGGACTCTTTATACCCTACACAAATGTGTTGTCAGTGTATTATAACTTTGTGCAGCCCCAAAATTTTATAACGCCGCGAAATTTTGGTCCTAGACCCACCTTAAGTATACCCATCATCATATCTCGACTAGCTGAGTCGATCTAGGTGTGTCCGTCCGCCCATTATAATTTGTAAACACGATACAGGCCACAGTTATGGACCAATCTCCAAGAAATTGTGCATGTAGGATGACTTCTCCAGAGGCCACAATTATGACCCAAACACCGCGAATTTTTGCATGGAGAAGGGGATTGGGTCAAAGAATAAGCATGCAAGTTTCGATAAAAACGGTCAATATTTAGCGGGTCAAATAGACCCTGACTTTTGTGTGAAAATTACAAAATTTGTATTTTGTGGCATATATATTTACTCCTGAAGGATGTAAATCCGAGAAGTTGATAGTGTATCGAAGAGGAGCGGTTGACCTTTAAATTGATACCAATTATATTGTTGTATGTACTCGGATGTGGGAGTTACACTTAAATAGTTACAGGTGCTTACGTATTAACATATTATTTAGTAACCCATTTGTTGACATCTAGTCGGTCAATAGTGTGCAAATATCGCAAAATATTGCCAAAGCTCAGAATATACAAACACAGAAAGTTCCATTTTCGAGGTCGCCACGTCCGACAATACTGCTCCGCTCACTCATTCTTTGCGTAAAACCGAGGACTTTTGTTTTCTATAGAAAAAATTTCTCAGTACAGTATTTTAGCCACTTCTATGAGGAAATGGGTGGGGAACATATTTAAAAATATTTCCAAAAAAATATTTTAAAAATCCACGCTTTGAAAAATACTAAAAAAAAAAATTTAAAAGAAAATGCCACGCTTTAGAATAGGCTTAGATGACCCCACCTAAGGTGGGTATATTTTGTTGTCACCAAAGATTATATTTATGTTGTAAAATCGTAATGATTTAAATTCTCTACTTTTACAACCAGAAATCAATTTGTTCATCACGTTGAAGGGTATAGAATATGACCAAAATTTATTGGCGATTTTTATTATTTTTTGATAGATACGATTTCAATTTATTTTCATTTTACTACTTTTACTGACACTAAAGTTATTCCATTTGAATTTTTGGAGTATTGATGTGGATTTTATTGCAGGACACTCAAAAACAAATAAAATATATGTGTTTCTATAAATTTGATTTTGATGCCACACTTTGATGAATTGTATATATATATATATATGTAAATATGTAAATTGTGTAAAAGTCTCTTATATTTTACTCACCAATAATATTCAGCTGAAATGCCATCGACATTTTCGGTTCGGTATTCACTTGGCATTCATAAATGCCACTATCACGTACTTGTGGAGATTTTACATGTAACGTCCATTCACGGGAGTCCTTGGATTCTGTCACCTACAATAAAGAAGATAAAAATCAACGTTAGTTGCACACATCGCCAGGGAGACATACAAACAAACAAAGAGATACATTCACACACACATATTATCTACTCAGGCACTTACTATATAAAAACACATTCAAGTGCGTAGCTGTCTGTATATATGTATGGGCGATATGTAAATATATTTACACTTTTTTCTTTACAATCATAAAAATAATAATCATAAAATGTTATGGGTTTTAAAAAAGAAGAAGAAAAAAAACAACAAAGATGATGACTATTCGGAATCAGAATCAAAGAGTAGGCCCTCATGGAATATCAGTTTACTTGTATTTTTATTATTTGTAATAAAAATTCATTTCTCTTGACTTTGTTGTTAATTTGTGCGTATTATAAAAAGCGAAACAAATAAATGGATGGATGAATGAATGAACGAACCAACGATCATAAGCACACAATTCTGAAGCATATCCATGATGGCGGCCATCAGCCATTGTGCCACAATTATTGTCGTCATCATCATCAGTGGCAATATCATTGACGACTCTTTTCGTATTTTAATGACAGTTGCATTTGTGTGAGGCTAATTGCCAATAACGTTGGCATTATCAAAGTTATTTCATTGTGGTGTCTCCTGATTGGGTATGTGTGTGTGTGAGTGAGTCCTTTGCTTGGTTACGCATATGCTTTTAATGTTAAATAATATAAGAAAGAAAAAACCCATTGATACTTTAAAATTGCCTTTATATTAAAAAAAAATTGCATGCAAGTGTTGCGTCAGCTAAAGGATTATTGGAGAATGGATGATTTTATTTTATTTTCAAATTCGAATAATATAATTATCAATTACTTAATTTTCAACAAATTAAGGTATATGAAAATCTTGGAATTAATATAAATATATTGTGATTATGACTTTATTATCCCCAAAGATTGTTTACGCTCGAGAGAGGGAGAGTTCATATTTAGGCCTCATTCTCCAAAAGCCCACAATGCAAAATTATAAAACCTTCAGAATACCGAGAAGGGATTGGTACCGTCATATGAACCCAAACCCACAAAGAATCGAATAATGTGGGATACCGATCTATTGGCGATACCCCGAAACATAAACTAACATTAATAATTTTTAAAGGGAAATTTTCTACACAATAATAATAATAATAATACAAATTGGTAAATTTCGAAACTCAACTTTAAATTTCATAATAAAACCATTAAGAAAAGCAGTAAATCCGGACTGGGCCGACTGTATGATACCCTCCACCACTTTGGGTATATTGTACACATGTATCCTTACAATTGCATGTCAATGCTCCCTTGAAGGAACATAATCATAATCTTCGACTGCGTCCCATGGGACAAATTTATGGAAAACGATTTATAGCAAAATTGATAAACGCTATTCGATCGACGCACGGTTAAAATTTTAATTTCAATCAGACACCCGTTCGAAATACATATGGAAGCAATGGTAGCATCTGCATCAATTTCAACGAAACGCAATAACGTCAGTCATGACCCAATTTGATACGTTGTGCAAAATTTCGTGTTAATCGGACAAACATTTACCATTTATGTAAAATCGGACGAATATAAATGTATATGTGGGAGCAATATGGAAACCTGAACCAATTTTCCCGAAACGCAACACTCTTTATTCTAGACTCAATTAAGTACGTTATGCAAAATTTCATGCAAATCGAAGGCTACAAAACGACTTTGCACCATTCGATTTTCACGAAATTTAACACACGTCTTTCTAGACTTAATTCAATTCGCTCTGCTAAATTTCGTGCCAATCGGAGGATATATAGGGACTCTGATTCACCACTTACATAAACTCGGACGAAAATATATATGGGAACTATATCGAAATCTGAACCGATTTTCCCGAAACTCACCACTAATTATTCTTGACTCAATTTAGTACGCAATGCCAAATTTCATGTAAATAGAAGACCTGAAATCGGACGAAAATATATATGGGAGCTATATCTAAATATGAACCGATTTTCAGGAAACTTAACACACTTCATTCTAGACCTAATTCAATGCGCTGTGCCAAATCGAAGGATATATAGGGACTTTTGTGCACCATTTACAGTAAATCGGACGAAAATATATATGGGAGCTATATCTAAATCTGAACCGATTTTTCCCAATTTCAATAGGGTTCGTCCTTGGGCCAAATAAATGAGCTGAGCTAAATTTCATCCAATTCGAATAAAAATGCGACCTGTACTTTGTTTACAATTTAAGATGGACAGACGGACGGACATGCATATATCGACTTATAAAGTGATTCTATGCATATTCTCAAAAGGAACCATGTGTATATCTCGTTTCCTTTTGCCTGTTACAAACATATGCACAAATACATAAGACCCTGTACTACAGTGTTGCGAATGGTATAAAAACACCTTTGTTGTTGTCTTGATCAGCGTAAAATTCTATGAAGATTTAAACATGCCAGTAAGTCTGTTGTAATCAGTCTAGCCTTTAAACGAATTGAGATAGATTGCCAACATTTTCCATAGAATTGTCTTTTGTTTGGAGGCAGCTCAAGTTCAAAGATGGTCTATATCGGTTCATGTGTAGGCAGATCTCCAATATAAGGGTACCTCCAATTTTTGGTATTTTGTGGTTTTGAGTCTGACTTCTTCTGATTTCTGTTAAGTTATATTAAAATCGGTACAGATTTAAATATAGCTCCCATATAACATTATTTTCGTCTGATATTTATATTTCGACATATATTTTTCCGATTTTATACAAATGATTCAAGTATGTTTGCTTTCAGGTTTATATATAGCTTCCATTTATAATTGCATCCAATTTCATCGAAATGGTGTACCGAATAACGAATGTTCGTCCGCTTAAGACGAATTGGTGCACAACGTACCAAATGGAACGTAGAATAATGTTTATTGGATTTTTTGTCGAGATAAATTTTGGATAGCGCACTGTGCTGCAGCATACCAAATGGTGTATACCTCGGTTGCTCAAATACGTCTATTTATTTATAGCTCTCATGCTCGATTTCATACAAATGATTGACATTCAATGTTTCATAAATTTCAGATTGGTATGGGTTGTTTTTGTTTAAATATCTATGCACTTCAAACTGGTAATTTCGTCCGAAGTGGTGAAGGGTATCGTATAGTCGGGCAGTCTGATTTGTGGACTTTTGTTACTGTTTTCATATTAAAATAGTTATCTGATTTGTTCCACGTCTTGGGTTTGGTTCTAAGACTCTGTTGCAATCATTCTACCTGCGAAGGATATCGAGATAAAACACTAGAACGTAAGGTTCTAGAATGAACTATATCGGCCCGCATTTAGGCCTAGCCAACATATAAACATACCTACCGATTTTGTGGTATGTTTAATATTTAGCGTAAAGGAATGTATGGTGATGCAAACATTTTTTCTGCAATAACATATTTTATATAACTGTGTCCTCTAAATTGCAATATTTTGGGGATGTTCCGCGTCGCCAATATCGGTTCACTTTTTGGTGTTTTTTAAGAAAAATCTCCATTAAAAATCGCTCAAATTTACATAAGTAGGTTGGTAGATATGTCCGTATAGCTCAACTTTTTTATCAGGGTATTTGCTCAAACGAACATGCATTCATCCAAAACTTAAATGATCATTTAATGCAAATAATTACTCATACGTCTTAATAAAGTAAACATAACCGAAACCGAAATTTAAGAAATGCCACTATCCGCATTTTCAACGGCATTGTAATTCGGATTTGTTACTTACCAAGAAACGATTATCGGAAGTGTAGGTGGTTTTTCCAACGGTTAATATATGCAAGTCACGTTTTCGTATCCAAGAAACCTGTAACGAAATTATAAATAGACATTTTTGAAAAAAATCGATTTATTTACAAATATTTGTGAAGGTTAAAAGGACTGCTTTAAACTAGGAGACTTTTCTTAGTTATTTCCCCACTTTCATTGCTTTAAAGGGTTTAGTCTATTTCCCCTCCGAAGTAGCTGAAATATGACATTGGGAGTTTTGTAGAGACTGACAAAAATTAAAGCAGAAACTTTTCAATACAGGTCGAAGTTTTGACATAGCTCCATATAAACTGTATTCTCCCACAGAAGGATCATTATTATTCTAGGATCTTGGAGGGTGGTAAACTTCTTTGCAGAAAATTTGCGACATAGGTCCATCGGTGTTTTGAAGCATTCAACTTGGCATTCCGGGATCTTAGATGACGAGAAAGGTCTGTACAGATAATTTTCGATATCGATCCATTTTTTATCATAACCATCAATAGAGATATTCCCTCCCCATTTTCGATATTTTGAAAATTTTAGCAGTATTCTCCCATCCCAAAGTGTATGTAATTGGGTATTCCGCCATCTTCGATGAACAACATCTTTGCAGAACATTTTCAATATTGATTATAGCATAAAAAGCATAGCCTTTAAATGGATTTCGCTCTATGTTCGGTATGTTGAACATTTTAGATTAATTTTCCCATTGAAGTGGGTGTAATATGGCATAGCCCCATATAAAGGGGCTAAAGTTTTAGCCGAATTTGACCACCTTATTAAAGAAAATTTGAAAGCACTCCATATGTTGGATGGTATAAAAAGTTCGGCCTGGCCGACATACACCTCTTTTTTACTGGTTTACATAAAAGTACCACACAATGTATTAACATAGCCCTCCTATAAAGATCCTGGCGGATTTAAGGACATTTGAATGCAAACCATTTGGTGGGGGTGCTAGTCTATAAAAGCCTTCCGTCCTTCGTTCGATTGCTTATTCTCAGCAAAATTTTCCCAATTACAAGTTAGGAATTTTATTGCAAAATTTAACCATTATACGCGGATATTAATTAAGATTAGCGACAAAATCTCCTTACTACCCATTGCTGTTACGGACAGTAACAAATAATCTCCCTCTTGTCCCATCTTGCAATAAAACAAAAACTTCTTTTAATTCCCACAAAAAACAAAAACATTCTCTCTGGCAGGAAAAATACAAATCTACTCCCTTTTTTCTTTTTCTACTTACCGATTTATCGCCAATTCTGTCAACACGACATTTAAGCACTGCCTCCATGTGACCCGTTCGCGCGGTTATATTCTGTGGCATGCCATAGTCAAAAACTGGCATTGTATTACGTTTCGCAGCGAATGGCGTCAGCTCATTGAAATCATCCGATATACTGGCGCTGTTCAAACCCGTAGAACCACCACCACCATTCGGGCGATTAAAAGGCAACGGTGGTGGTGGCAATTGCGGATGATGTGTTTGCGTATCATCCATGGGCACAATTAAACGTCCACCTACCATGGAAGTGGCAGTGTGGTGGAAGGCATTCAGTTTGTGGGCCGCCGGAGCATCGAATGCGGTTGTTGCATTCACAACGAATGAGGTTCCTTGAGTCGAGGTTAAATATTGCGGCAACTGATGACCCCGTTGTTGTCGTTTCTGTTTGGGCGCCATAAGAAGTATTTGATCTTTGGCCTCTGCGGGATCATTGCCAGTGATGGCAATCTTGGTAGTGGGTTTTGTTACTTGTTTTGTTCTTTCGCTGGTCGATTGAGGTGGGCTGTTGTTATTGTTGTTGTTTTCCAGGATTTGTAAAGGATTTTCTAAAGTTTGTTGTTGCTGCTGTTGTTGTTGTAATGTTGGTAATACCGGCTGTTGGTTGGGTTGTGGTAAATTTGTTCGGTTTTGTTGTTGCTGGTTTGCACTTGCAACAAATGAAGTGGTATTAGCGATGATGTTACTGGTTGTAGCCACTGCGGATGATAAGTCCCCGGGCATTGTCTTTGTTTGCTGGCTTATAAAGGAAATTGATTCATTCCGGGCATTTATTGAGGCAGCTGATGTTAGTAATACTGCAAGGAGAGATAAGAGAACAAATGTAATTTTAAACTTGAAGATAAATGGAAAAGGAAAGGTTATTGTGTTTTAGTAATTGAAAATGTTTTTAAAGTGGAGTCTTTTTAGAGTGGAGTCATCTGAAATCTGAATTTGAATTTATATTAAGTATACCAATAAAAGGCGTGGATTTTTTTAAGATTTTTTTTTCAACGACCGGTGAAAGGCGTGGATTTTTTAAAGATTTTTTTCCAACGACCGGTAAAAGGCGTGGATTTTTTAAAGATTATTAAGGTAGACACATGGTTCCTTTTGAGAATATGCATAGAATCATCATTCTAAGTCGATTTATGAAAGTACGTCCGTAAGTCCGTCCGTCCGTCTGTCTGCCCATGTTAAATTGTAAACAAAGTGCAGGTCGCATTTATGATCCGAATTGGATGAAATTTGGCACAGCTAGTCTATTTGACCCAAGGACGAAGTGGGAAAACTCGGTTCAGATTTAGATATAGTAGTTCCCATATATATTTTCGTCCGATTTAATGTAAATGGTGTACCAAAGGCCCTATTTGCACGAAATTTGGCATAGCGTACTGAATTGAGTCTAGAATGATGTGTGTAAAATTTCTTGAAAATCGGTTGAGATTTAGATATAGCTCCTATATATTTTTGCCCGATTTAGAGTCTAGAATGATGTGTGTAAAGTTTCCTGAAAATTGTCCTATTTTAAGACTCAAAGTTAGGCAGATTACCACACAATTCTGTACAACGTACTAAAGTTTGCTAAAACCAGTTCGGATGTAGATTTAGCTCCCAAATAATTATCTTCCGATTAAAAAAAAGAAACAGTGAGCGGAGCAGTATAGTCGGACGGGGCCGACAAATTTTCTGCGGATGTATATTCCGAGCCTGGACAATATTTCGTGATATTTACACCCTCTTGCCCGATTAGAGGTAAACAGCACCTCTTCTTCACACTGACATATTTTCCGAATATTACGAGTATTCAGTACAGCTATTGTCCACATTCCCTTCACCGTGGGTTGTGTTGTGATGTTCGGCTTTCATTTGTGGTCTATAGATCGACTCGAAAAAAAAACAATAAATTAAGTTTTCTGCCCACTTTATCCCAAAATTTTTATCTGATCATCACCGAAAATTATAGGCGTTGTCCTTGACCATAGCTGGAACCTCATGGAACATTTCAAAGCGATCAGCCCTATAGTTCCGCTCTCTAGAGAAGGGGATCAGGCCAAAGAATAAGCATGCCTGTTTTCATGAAGATCGGTCAATATTTAGCTGGTCAAATGGACCCGGACTTTTGTGCGAAAAATGACAAAATTTGTATTCTATAGCGTATATATTTACCCCTGAAAGACATAGAAGGATATATTATATCCAAGAGGAGTGGTTGACCTTTAAATTAATACCAATTAAATATTTACAGGTATCTCCGTATTCGTATATTATTTAGTTACCCATTATAACTCTAGAGAGAGGAACTTATCGCTGTGAAATGTTCCAAGGACAACGCCTATAATTTTCGGTGATGATCAGATAATAATTTTGGAATGAAGTGGACCGAAAACTTAATTTTTTTGTGTTATTATCGAGTCGATATATAGACCACAAATGAAAGCCGAACATCACAACACAACCCACGGTGAAGGGAATCTGGACAATAGCTGTACTGAATACTCGTAATATTCGGAAAATATGTCAGTTTGAGGAAGAGTTGCTGTTTACCACTAATCTGGCAAGAGGGTGCAAATATCACGAATTATTGCCCAGGCTCGGAATATACATCCGCAGAAAATTTGAGTTCCGTGGTAGTTGTGTAGGGTATCGTATGGTCGGCCCCGTCCGACTATACTGCTCCGCTCACTGGTTTTAAAATTCTTTGTAATTTCCTGGGGTGAAAATCCCTTGATATGTAATGGTAGCAAAAAATAAAAAAGGGATCAAATGAAAAAAGGCATAATTAACATTCAATTAAAGTGCAAATGTACCAACTCCGACAGGAAACAATTGGAAATGGCAAAAGAAACCAATAACCGATTTCTCAATAAATGAAATGCAGTTGAGAAATAAGGCAATGCAGAGAAAAAACCAAAACACATCGTAACAAAAAAAACACTAAACTCATTTTTGGTTTCTATTTTTCTAAAGCAAGGAAAAAATTAGAGCTTGAAATATACAAAACTTGTTTCACACACATGCACAACTGTCATTTTGAAAAATTGTAAAGATGTTGGTGTTGTATTTTTTTGCGTTTACAATACTTCTGTTATCCGTTTAGAAATTGCTTGTCATGATTCTTCGTTTTTTGTTGTTGTTACTACAGCTATTGATAGTTTTTGTTTTCTCCTTCATTCATTGTGAGAAGAATTTATCGTTTTGCCATTTTGAAAAGAAATGTTGAAAGTTTTTTTATATTCCTGAGTGATTTTAATTAAACATCTGGTGGTGTTGGTGTTGCTGGAGAAGTAATGGTTTTACGATGAGTTGGCAGAAAACAAAACAAAAAATCGGTTTTAGCTATTGCAAAACTTTGTGATGTTTTTTGATCGTCAAGTATGTCAAATGTGAAATCTATTAAATGTCAATGACTTGTGGATTTTTTTATTATTTATAAATTAATTTTTTCGTTGTTATTTTAATTGGAAAAGTTGCACTGGAAGGATTTTGCAAAGACTTAGCTGAGTAGTGAATGATTTTTATGAGTTAATACAAATTAAAAAAATTGCATAGTTTGACCCTTAAAACTATTTAAAACCCCAGTAAGGAAAGAAGTGAAGTTGGACGGGGCCGACTATATGATACCCTTCACCACTTTGGGTATATTCAACAGATAAATCTTAACAGAATTCGTATTTTTGAAGAACCAGTAAAAGGAAATTGGATCCACAAATATGTCATTCTGCAACCTCTACTAAATTTATCATTTGTTCAGACAAAATTATGTAAATCAATTTAAAGCAAATATCAATCGGTCACCCGTTGATTATTTGGATAAATATCTGATAAACATGAGGAGTTTGGTGCACCATTTACATTAAATCGGACGAAAATATATATGGCTGCTATATATAAATATTAACCGACTTTCAGGAAACTTTAGACACATCATTCTAGAACCAATTCATTAGGCTATGCAAACGTTCGTGCAAATGGAAAGATATATATTGACTTTGGTGCACCGTTTACATTAAATGGGAGGAATATATATATAGAACCTATATCTAAATTTGAACCGATTTTCACGAAACTTAACACACATCATTCTAGACTTAATTCAGTACCTCGTGCAAAATTTCGTGCAAATCGAAAGTTATATATGGACTTTTGTACCCCAATTACCTTAAATCGGACGAAACTATATACGGGAGCTATATCTAAATCTGAACCGATTTTCTTCCATTTCAATAGCATTCGTCCTTAGGCCAAATAAATAAGATGTGTCAAATTTCATCTGAATTGGATCATAAATGCGACCTGTACTTTGTTAACAAAAATACATGGACGGACAGACAGACGGACGGACAGGCGGACAGATGGACGGACAGACGGACGGACAGGCGGACATGCGTAAATCGACTCAGAAAGTGATTCGATTCATTTTGTCTGTTACAAACATATGCACAAAGACATAATACCCTGCATATGTTTATTCTGGTCAAAATTTCGTGATATTTGGACCTTCTTGTCTGACAACAGTACCCCGTAGGTTGTCAACTTAAAAAAATCATAAAAATTCAGTTCTCGGCCCAATTTATCCCACAATTTTTATCTGATTATCAACGAAAATTATAGGCGTTAGCCTTGACCATACCTGGATCGTCATGGAAAATTTCAAAGCTATCCACGCTTTTTTCCGCCCTCTAGTAATGGGTTACTAAAGAATATCTGAGTACGTAAACACCTGTAAATATGTATGTGTAACTCCCACATACGAGTACATAAGAAAATGTAATTGGTATCAATTTAAAGGCCAACCATTCCTCTTGGATATACTATTTATACCCTACACAACTATGTTGTCAGGGTATTATAGCTTTGTGCAGCCCCAAATGTTTGTAACGCCGCGAAATATTGGTCCTAGACCCACCTTTAAGTATACCGATCGTCATATCTCGACTAGCTGAGTCGATCTAGACATGTGTGTCCGTCCGTCCGTTTGTCCATTATAATTTGTAAACACGATACAGGCCACAGTTATGGACCAATCTTCACGAAATTTTGCATGTAGGATGGGTTCTGGCCAATGAAGACCCCTATTGTTTTTGGAAAAGATCGGTTAATATTTAGGGGATGAAATGGACCAAATACTAAATTTTTGTCGGTTTTTCTGGTCGCTCCAGAGGCCGCAATTATGGCCCAAACACCGCGAATTTTTGCATGGAGAAGGGGATCGGGCCAGAGGATAAGCATGCATGTTTTGATAAAGATCGGTCAATATTTAGCGGGTCAAATGGACCCTGACTTTTGTGTGAAAAATGACAAAATTTGTATTCTATGGCATATATATTTACTCCTGGAGGATGTAGTCCCCAGGATTTGATAGCATATCCAAGAGGAGTGGTTGGCCTTTAAATTGATACCAAATATAGTGATTTATCTACTCAGATGTGGGAGTTACAGTCAAATATTTACAGGTGCTTACGTATTCAGATATTATTTAGTAACCCATTACCACATTAGAGGGAGAAATATCGTGCTGATGGCTTTGAAATTTATCATGAAGTTCCAGTTATGGTCAAGAACAACGCCTACAATTTTCGGTGATGATCAGATTAAAATTTTGGGATGAAATGGACCGAAAACATAATTTTTTGTGTGTTTTCGAGTAGAGTATAATCTGAAAATCACAACACAACCCACCGTGAAGGTAATCTGGACAAGTAATTAGAAGGACTGTACTGAATATTCGAAAAAAGTAAGGAAGAGGTTTTCTTTTTTCTTTTCTGCTCTATGTCCTTCAGGAGTAAATAGATGCGCTATCGAATACAAATTTTGT